ATTTATTTAGTGATATGTTATATTTATTTAATATTAAGTTATGACTATAATGATTATAAAATTATAATTTTATAAAATATCATTATAATTATAGTATTTACTACTTGAATTTTGCAAATATACTCTGGCTTTTAATTTTCCCACCTCTTATTTTCAATAGAGTTTGCAGTTAATTCACATTTATTTTTCAAGAGTAATGATCTGCAGGACGAATTTGTGTGACGATTTTGGGGGACGACAAGTAAAAATAGAGTCAAATTGATAATTGCTGTTGGGACTGCTTCACTTGTCGTCCCCCAAAATCGTCTCGCAAATTCGTCCCGCATATCATTACTCATTTTTCCATGTCTTTGCAGTTGAGCACTTTATTAAGTTTATTTTGGTTCAAGTTTAGTGTTAGGTTCTTATTTTTAATTAATGCCAGCCCACCCCTCATTTTCAATAGGGTTTGTGGTTAATCTCCATTTATTTTTCATTGTCTTCGCAATTGAATACTTTCCTTGAGTTTATTTTGGTTTAAGTTCAGTCTTAAATTTTTACTTTTAATTATTGCTAGCCTGTGTTGGAACTTGGAATACTTCTAAAACTAGGCTTTATAAGTTAATAATTCTCTCTTTAGTCGGTGACACTGGTTTTTACTCCAAAGAAGTTTTCTGTGCTAACAAATCTATTTTGAGCATAGTTGGGATAATTAACTCTCACTGCTATTGCCCCCTCCCTAATTCTAACCAAGTTTGCACTCAGCTAATGCAACTAACCTTATCATATACTCATATTATTTGAAGAGTAATTAATTGGATGGTTTGTGGATTTAATTGGAAGATTTGTGCGCTTTGTTTGATTTGTTTGGTGATGGATGCATAATTTATTGGTTTAAAGTGTCATGTGCTCCTTTCAATATAGTTTCTTTATTTGCTGATCCAAAAAATAATTTGGATCCAACACCTAGCGAAAAAGTCCATTGTTCTCATGAAAGAGAAAGGAGGAGAAGTAAACAAAAGTTTCAAAAAAAATACAAAGCAAAATAAATTAGATTTATGTTTTTTAAGGTAACAATAATTATTTGTAATAATATAAGTTTAAATGAAAATAGTAAAAAATTATTAACCCTAATTCTACTAAAACATGTATGAAGTATAGAGTATAATAAAATAGTAACATAGTTATTTATAAATAGTAAAAAACTGCACATGGGTCTTCGGGTCACCTTAGAGGTGCAGTCCCCATCCTCTTGGTAGGTTTGAAGTTCGAATCCCATCCTTGTCACTTTGTTAAAAATAATAATAATAAAAAACTATTTCCCTAGTTACTTTTTATCATTTTTATAATTTTTCTAAGTTATTAACCATAATGAACTTAGGTTTGTCAAATTTTTTATCACATTTGTATCAACTATACTTATGCTAATAATTTTAATAGATATTGAAAAAAAAATTTATGACTGATTTTTTTATATGAATAATATTAACATAAAAAATATATATTTGTATTAATATTTCATGATTGATGCTTAAACCATTAACACTTTTATGACTACATTTTTGTAGTGCAACCACGAAATTACAGAACCTATTCTCCAGTATAACTCCACAGCAAAATCGCTATTAGCAATCAAATGAAAACGAAAGTTGGCCGTTGCAGCCGTCCACACATTATCGATTCCGAATTCCGCACATGTCACTTTTTTTTTTCTTTTTTTTTTTGAGAATAAAACCTCCTAGTTTCGTATTTTGCACATGCAGGTGTTCAAGCACGTGTGTTTTTCCCCAAATGGAATTTGGCACAAAGCAGACGGAATTTGGAATGGACACAAAGGACGGGCGACTTATGGCTGCCAATTGCGCATGTGACGAAATAGATGTTGTACAAATGCTGTGATTCTTTTTGGGGGATGGTTTAGGATAGGAGTGAAATGTGCTTTCTAATGATTATGTTATACCTAACTAAATTAAACATCAAAATGGCAAGAGGTTTGGCGTGGTACCATTAGGGGCTTCTTGTTATTGAATAAAATGGGGACTTTGCATTTATAATTGGTTGCCAAACTTGGTTAAGACTGGCATGGTACTGATGACAGGCATTAAGAGTAGTGTCATTTTGGTCACTTGATGATACTGGCTTTCTTCTTTCGTCAAATTAATTTCATCCATGTTCTAATTTAAAATTTAAGTTAAAGATATGCAATTGAGTCTTGAAGATTTAAAATTCTATTAAATTAGGTAATTAAATGACTATTTAACTCAACTTTTGAAATATCTATTTTATTGCAAAAGTTAAAGCCGGTCAAATACATATAGATTTTTTTTTTTTTTATCTTGGTTACACGATAAAAAGCAATCACCTCTTATCTCTTATCCCAACTCATCTGCATGCTATACGATTCAAATTTAGTATCTCTTATTTTTAATGAAAGAAGATAATCACTGAATTATTTACATAATTAACAGTACATATAGTTTTCTTAAAAACACTTTTAACATTTTTTAAAAGTTATTTTTAGTTTTTAAGACGTTAAAATTAAAAGTTACACTTGATAATTTTTAAAATAAAGTCTTTGTTAATAGTTTTATAAATTTTTGTTACTTTTTTAAAATTCATAATTATATTATATAACCTGTGATTTAATATTTCTACAAATATTTCCATCAAAAGAAAAAAATTTCTACAAAAATTATTTAAAAAACGCTTCTTCAAAGTTACAATTAAAAACTCGTGCATATGTCCAAAAAACACCAAGCTTACTCTAAAATCAACTGAATAATTAATATCGTGAATGCTAGCTGCAATGCTAAAGAGAGTCCTGATTTTGAACACGTGGGGAAAGCAGTTACAATCTAAATGGATGGCCTACACTTCCTTGTACCACATGGGGCGCAATTACTTTGTGGCTGATACCCATTTCATGCACTCTCTCTGGGCACGTGGAATTTCCAAATTAGGATTTTGATGATGATAAATCGACAGATGATGACTTTTTTTAATTTTTTCTCTAACGTGAGTTTGCAATTTGGACAGGAAGAAGAGAGGAAGTAGGTGACAGTTCTTAAAGGGTCATTTTTAAGTTTTCTAATATATTTTTTTTTAGTCTCAGCATTAAAATATTACTTTTAATTAATATTCTATGTAAATTATTTGTGAATTATTTATGTTAATTTTTAGACTAATCTAATTTTTATAATTATTTGATCAAATAAAAATTATTTATTGACAATAGTTAATAGTGTAAAATTCTATGTCATTAATGAGTTAGTTAGACATATTTGATTAATTTAAAAATTAACACACTTGATGTACATAAATAATTATTTAGTTCAAAGTTTTCAAAAATATTAATTGAAATAGATGTTTATAAGAATGTCTTATGGGAGGACTTTATGCAAAAACTTTATATATATATATATATATATGCACACATATACATCAAACTCTGTCTTTCTAATTTTCTAGATGGTGTTTGTTCTAATTTTTTTTAAAAAAAATTATCACAAGTTTGCTCTAATGGTTTAAAGTGTTTAGATTATAAATATTAATAATTATTTATCATTAAATATTACACTCTTTGTTTATTTTTTTGTAAATCTAATTTTTTTATTAAATAAAATAGAGATATAATAATTTATTACTAAAATTTTATATCTATCCATAATTAAATACCACA